CACGAACACGTGATAGCTGTCGCATCTACCCAAGTAACCGACGGTGATGCACTTGTGGCTCCTTCGTTTCGCTGCACCTCCCGTGGAATTCTCGTCGCCTCTTGCCTCCTCCGGTTTTCCTCTGGCTGCGCTTTTCTGCCCGTTTCTAACACAACTGCAGAATCTGTGCTGCTGCCCAAGGGAATGACAGTGGCAAAGATTGACTTCTCTCCATTGACCTCCATCGCGACACTCTGCCCGTCTTCGTCACCAGTACCAGCTCCAGGTTCACGTTCTTTCCCTTTTCGACCTGTCATTGGTTCAGACCTCACACCAAAACAGTCTGAAGCACTATTGGCCCTTTTGGCTAAGCACAAAGCCTGCTTTGATAGCTGTACCACAACACTGAGTCAGACTTCCGCGGCTGTACATCGCATTGAAACCGACGGTTCTCGTGTGATACGCCGTCGCCCATATCGGGTTTCGCAATCAGAGAGAGAAATAATTGAAAAAGAAGTGAACGAGATGCTATCGCGAAATATAATACGACCTTCTTCGAGTTCCTGGGCATCTCCAGTCGTTTTAGTTAAAAAGAAGGATGGCTCTGTTCGTTTTTGCATTGACTACCGCGCGTTAAATAAGATCACACGCAAGGACGTATATCCTATGCCTAGAATTGATGACGCTTTAGACACACTGCAAGGGGCGAACTATTTTTCGAGCCTTGACTTACGATCAGGTTACTGGCAAATCCCCATGAACGAGGCTGACAAAGAAAAAACTGCATTTGCCACACCGGACGGCCTTTATGAATTTAATGTAATGCCATTCGGCTTGTGCAACGCTCCAGCCACGTTTGAGCGAATGATTGATACTGTTCTTCGTGGCCTAAAATGGAAGACCTGCCTCTGTTACTTAGATGATATCGTTGTTTTTTCAAGTACCTTTGCCCAACATCTTCAACGATTAGACGAGGTGCTACAATGTCTCTCCAAGGCTGGCCTTCAGATAAATACAAAGAAGTGTACATTTGCCAGCAAAAGCATCAAAGTCCTCGGTCACGTCGTTTCCAAAGACGGAATCCAACCAGATCCCGAGAAGATCGCAGCTGTGCTACAGTTCCCTCGACCGTCCAACCAAAAGACGTTGCGCAGCTTTCTTGGTCTCGCGTCCTATTTTCGTCGCTTTATACGCAACTTTGCTACCTTAGCGGCTCCGCTAAATAAGTTATTGGCCACTGGTGCTCCTTTCTCATGGTCCAACGACTGCGAATCTGCATTTGAAATTTTGAAAGAACGCCTGACTTCCGGACCAGTGCTGCGCCACTTCGAAGAGAGAGCGCCTACCATACTCCATACTGACGCAAGCGCACAAGGCATTGGAGCAGTCCTTCTGCAGCGTGATTCCACCTCTAAAGAGCAGGTTGTGGCCTACGCTAGCCGGACTCTGTCAACAGCTGAGCGGAATTACACCATCACGGAGCAGGAGTGCTTGGCTATCGTATGGTCGATACAGAAATTCCGCCCGTATCTCTACGGTCGGCACTTCACCATCATCACCGACCACCACGCACTCTGTTGGCTTTCATCAATGAAGAATATGTCAGGACGTCTTGCGCGCTGGATACTGCGCTTACAAGAGTACGACTTTACAGTTACGTACAAGTCTGGCAAATGTCATCATGATGCCGACGCGCTGTCCCGGTGCCCACTTTCGCTCTCTCGTGACAATACGTCCACCGCATCGCGTTCGAATGACTCTGACACCCAGCTTGCCTCACAACACGTATCGCTCGCATCGCTGGATCCAATGCAGCTATCTTCGAACTCCGATTTACGTTCACTTCAGCTGGCAGATTCCTACTGTCGGTCTTTCATTGATCGCCTTCGCGGTGTCACTAAACCACCCAACAGCCGCTTGCGACGCCAGCTTCGACAATTTCGCCTTCAGGACGGTGTGCTTAAGCGCTACATTTACCATCCCACCGGTAACAAGTTGGTGCCAGTTCTTCCCCGCTGCCTTCGTCTTCGAGTTTTGGAAGCATTCCACGATGATATTGCTGCCGGTCATCTAGGCTTCCACAAGACCTACGATCGCATCAAGACGCGCTGCTTCTGGCCTGGCTTGTCCACAACGGTGGCCAAATACGTGGGCTCGTGCGCGTTGTGTCAGCACCGCAAGCGATCCACATCCCCGCCTGCTGGTTTCCTTCAGCCTCTTCCCTGTCCCACCACACCATTCGAATTTGTCGGAATAGACTTGTATGGTCCTTTGCCGTTGACACCTTCCGGTCACCGTTGGATCGTCACTGCAGTCGACCATCAAACAAGATACGCCGAGACTTCACCTCTTCATTCTGCTACCGCCACAGAAATCGCCAATTTTTTCTTGAACTCCATCGTCTTGCGCCACGGAGCCCCTCGCGTCCTTTTGAGTGACCGTGGCAAAGCCTTCCTTTCCAAGGTCCTGGATGAAGTCCTGCAGGCGTGCAATACAGTGCATAAAACCACTTCTACATACCATCCGCAAACGAATGGCCTTACCGAGCGCTTCCACCGAACACTCTCTGACATGATATCGATGTACTTGCATCCTGACCACAAAAATTGGGATAACATTTTACCGTTTGTCACCTTCGCATACAATACTGCGGTACAACGATCAACTGGCTACAGCCCGTTTTTTCTCGTGTACGGCCGATCTGCCTCCTCGGTCTTCGACACGGCATTTTTCTTTGCACCGGCTCCAAGCAGTACCTCGCTCCCAGAAGAGTTCGCAGCCCGAGTCACACAATGCCGTGAAATTGCTCGCAAAAACACGGAAGCAACCCAAAAGGAGAGAAAACATCGCTGTGATAAAAAACGACGCGACGTGGCCTTTAATGCTGGCGATAAGGTTTTACTATGGACCCCGGTTCGAGCGTCGGGCCTTTGCGAGAAATTTCTTCACCGGTATGTTGGCCCATACACCGTTGTACGACAGACATCTCCAGTTAACTACCTCGTCACCCCGCTTCAGTCTGTCACTGACCGCCGTCTGCGCAGCACGGAAATAGTTCACGTCTCACGCATGAAGCCTTTTGTTACTCGTTCGGCCGATCTCTGACTGGCGGCCAGGTTGGCCGCTTCGCAGAGGGGGGGGGAAATTGTAAGCACATTCCAAGCATTTGATCGTTCTCACTTGCACATACCCATCATCATCGTTCTCACTTGCACATACCCATCATCATCGTTCTCTCTCTTGGTGTGGTTCTGAGCCGAGCCAGACATCGCAGAATAAACGCTTCTGCTCGCCCTGCCTGCTCGCCGTACCTAGTCTGCCTGCGTCTTTCAATATATATATATATATTGGGCGAAGCAGTTTAACGATGTAATACCTACTAGCCCAATACCACACATTATTTTTCCATTATTTTCACTCTAGCCGTCACAAATGGCTTCATTGTTTTGTCGCAGATTTAGTGACGTTAGGGAGCTGACACGGCGCCTCTCAAAAACCGTTGATGCCCATTTTCGGTGATATTTCAGCGGCTATCTACGAAAGCGCTGGTTATATTCCCGGTAGCAGCGGCCACATTTGTGGAGATGAAGTGTAAAAGCTATAGAAGTGCCCGTGTAGCTCGATTCATACGCGAATAAAATATACCCAATCGATGGAGCAATACAGAGTCCGAAATTGATGCGTGCTTCATGCTCATATCATAGTTTTAAGATTGAAAAAATGGCCGCGTATCGGCGACCATGCTTCGCTGGCAAAGATCGTCGAAATACGATAGTCATCTGTCTGGAGAGAAAGAATAAAACGTTCATTTTACGTTCTGCTCAAGAAAATGGGTGAGTAGGCAGTGCGTGAGATATGCACGCCATCTTGCAGTAATATAAAAGAAACAAAAGTTTCTCTAGAACGCAGAGCCATTGATAGGTGGTAGCATTGTGTCATTATAGGGAAGCGTAGGAAACGGCCGCTTTTTCGTTCATAGCGTCGCATCGTAAGCGCAGCGTAATGAGCGCTGCGGTCTTTAGAATTACGTATCTATGCATTTTAGAAATAAAGAAACACACTACCTATTACTCACGTATTGATGTTTGCTTAAAATACGCGTAATACGTGGTTTTCGATTGACAATGTCCATAAGGGTGAACGCATTAAGCAGATCAGGATTGCTGGTAGCTGAGAAAGTGCCTAAATTTTCGCCGGTTCGCTGAATCATGCGACTGACAGACGAACAGAAAGAATAGACTGAACACTATTGCCCCCCCCCCCCCCAAAAAAAATGCTCCTGTGTTGTGACCCATGCAGGGCAAGCTTTCCGGATTGCCGTAGGAATTGATAAGTTGTCGATGAGTATGTGACCTCCGGGACTAGGCGCCTTCAGGTACCAACTCCTCTTCTTTTTTGACAATAATAAGTACCCAAAGAAAGTTTATCATCTTTAAAAACTTATACTGAATACCCGACCACTTGGTGTTGATGCTTGACTAGATCAGTATCTAGTCGGGTAGATGTTACTGCAATGCAAACAGTGCGAAAGTGGGACGGAAAGTAAGAAGTATACGCAGCACTGCACAGTTGTAGCTTTTTATCCTCCGTCCCAATTTTTCGCCGTTTTCATCACAATAAAATTTAATTCACTTATATAATTTATTGTGAAGCAAGCTAGTAATGTTCATAAACGTGGTGGTCAAGTAAACTTCGTGTAGATACGTACCAGTCATTGGCATATCTAGGCGGTAGAGGCCAACCCCTTCCCAGAAATTTTCCCTTTTCATATGTGTTCACATACACTCATACCATATTTTACTTTGGTAGTTGCATCCCGTCAACCTTTATGCAGAAATAACAATGGCGTTTGTCGTTTTTATCAAACTCAGAGCATAATAAACAATCAAAAAAGGAAAAAAGACAAAATACAGAAAAGATTTATTGGTAACCAAAAATTGCAGATATTATCGATGTTTATGCATGCATGTATATCAGGGCAGTCATGCATGCATGCATGTATATGCGTGCATGTATAGCAGGGCTTCAGCTTCCAAGCGTGATGTCTGCTCTCAGAAGACGTTTTCCTGCTTCAAGGCTTAGGCATAGGCTCGTGCGACAGAGAGCGGTCCAGGGCAACCTTGTAACTGCTGTAGAAAGTACTGTAGACTACGCCAGCGATGTTAGCGCGGTAGTCTTCGTTGATGCTGCTCAGGTAAGGGTTCAGTGGTCCAAGACCCGACCACTTGGTGTCGAGGTCACCGAGACCCGTAATCTGGAAAGAGCGCAGCACGGCCGGTTTTCCTGGTGCCGCGGTGGCCTCCATGTGGGCGTAGCACGTGCCCACTCGCGACTCAACGCGCGCGCGCAGTTCGGGCACTACGCCGTACTTGACGCGCGCGTCGTATATGATGTCCAGGTCGTCAATTAGCAGGTTGCATGTGACCGTGATGTTGCCGTTAAGCCAGCCGGGGGCCGTGCAGTCACCGAAACGGTTGACGCGCGATAGACCACGTAGAGTGCCGTTTACAAATTTGGCGTGGCCGTGGACGGGAATTCCCAGGATGCTGTCCTTGAAGTCTGTCTCAAATGGTGGCAAATGGAACGGGTCCAGGTCTAGGAAGCGAACTTGCGCAATCATGTCTGTCAGCAGGATGCGATCCATGTAGAAGTTCGATTCCTTTGGATTCCGCACGAACACTTCTGTGTCAAGAGAAGATACACACATCAAATGGCAGATTGGGACATTGATCAGCACAGAAACAAACATGCTACCACGAAAACAAGGAGGAAAACCATCTACGCGCCTTCAGCTATTCGAAGTGAGATAGAATTTTGTCCAGTTTTATTAGAGCTCAGTACACAGTGTTTCGTACATGAATTTTCATAGAAGCATATTTAACTGAAATGGCGTTAATGTAGTAATACTGCTTAGTGTCTCTACCTTACTCTACAGATGGACATTTATACATGAGAAGTAACATTTGGCATGTATTCAGGTGAGTTATTTTCATAGATTGTGCCTGTTGGCCTCTTATCATAGAATCGAAAGTTGGGCTAGTTGGATATGCATTGTATAACTGTCAGTTCAAGCGCACGAATAAGCAGAAAGGAAGAGAGGACAAGCGCTTCTCCTCTCTTCCTTTCTGCTTATTTATGCGCTTGAACTGACAGGTATACCATGTTCTTATCATATAGTCCTCATATGTGGATTAAGAAATTAAAAAAAAGCTACATTGATTCAGTGAAATCGCTTGTGTATAGAGACACATAAGCAGCTAATCGCGAAAGTAAAACAGAATACGGAACAAAGAAGAAGGCAAGTAACGGGACTGGCCGATCATGGTTTGGGCTTTCTTTCTCCTGGTCGTGTTGCGTTAAGCTTCTGCGTTAAGAAAATATGGCAGCACAGCGATGCTAGTGTACCACCGGCAACATCCATGATTACCAATATCGCCTGCTTATGAGGGGCTGTCCATGTGCCTGCAATTCCGACTCTTGCGTACTCTCGAAAATGTCCAGCCTGTAGTTATAGGAATCGAACCTTTCAGGGCCTGAACATGGTGACATAAAAATACCTGTTTTGCTCCTGCGCACGTCTGTAGTAACATATGCGAACTATTCAAGAAGTTGGGCGTCGTCCTCCACGTTACATTTTTGATCATCAACTGTTCACTATTAAGCATAGAGAAAAAAAACGCCTCCAACGAGATGTAAGCCAGGCACGACAAATTCCCTTTTTGATAACCCCATGAACGTGACACAGTCTGTGCATGAACAGGTGGGAGATTTGGGAGAGTTGTATAAAAGGAGGAACTGAAAGCCCCAGTAGCCATAGCTGCCACTGCAAGAATGTAGCTCCACTGCTGAGCATCAACAAAGATGGTATACTACGAATTCAGTGGTATTGACGAACCTCCATTGGGCTGTACAGCCTCTGAAAAAGAGGAAAACAGTGAGATCTGAAATTAGTGCAAACTCCGCAGACATAAGCCATCGACACTTGTCATAAAGTGTCGATGGCTTGTCATAAAGTGTCGCTGGGTATAAGCCATCGACACTTGTCATAAAGAGGCAATCATAAATATGAGCAATCGTTTTGACAGATATATGTCTTCGACTTATTTTTGTTAAAGATAGGTCGAAGACATATTGAGGCTTCCCTTGCTTACCGACTGTTGTCCACTTCAAGTCTCCTGTAAACTCTTTGTCTTTATGCTTTGAACCGGTGTCTGACAGCGTACAGTAGGTCACGCAGAATAACTTAGCGCGACTACTTAATGTCGAAACTACCGCATAGGCCTGTCCCGCAATCCAACTTCATCGTTTTAAGCCTAAAGAAGTTCAAATTATACAGTAGAATACAGGAAGACTCGAAGGGACTAACGGGAGTAGAAAAAAAAGAATCAGGAGCCAACATGGCAACAAATGCATGAGCCCCGTGGTAAGAGAACTGGCACCAGGAATGTACACCTCCCGATTACTGCTCACCACTGGAAGCTTAAAAGAAAGAGAATGGGGAGGAGAGGAGATCAGGAAGACTGAAAGTTCAATATACCCCAATCAGGACACCAGGGAAATCAGGCAACAAATATTCACAAAAGTTCCAGTGCAATGATTCACCTAGGGATCCTTCACTGTATCTTTATTTCTGCCAACAAGATTTTTCTCACCAATCAATGATAAGAAATGGCAAATGAAGTGAATCAACTCGGCATCACTATAATGCGAAATGACTTCGATATTGTAGTCAGCTGGTTGATCTCCTTCTTTAAGCACGACATAATCATGTTTATGCTGTTACAAATATCAAAGGGGATAGCACTGCCGTAATATTTATGGGAGGAAAGAGATAAAAAAAACATTTATTCATGCAGGCCTAAATGACCATCATCTCTTGGGTGGAGTCATATCGGTGTCTCACAACTGCAAGAAGTCATGAAAAAGGGCAAACTACAAGCTGAGCAGGCAATCAAGGTATGGCACCGCTATTTCCTCATTTTCGCCACTGCACCGCGTCAGATATGCGCAGTTCGAGGCTCTTTGCCACGCGCTTGTGTGTTACCTTTCATAAGATTGGAGGCTACAGTCTAGTGATAAAATTTTTTAGAAGACATTGGTCATTCAACAGAAGTAAACGAAATAATTGCGAAGTTAGCGCGAGTTATTCAACAAGGGGTTGAAAAACTCACACGGTCCCTTATGCATTCAACCAAGACGCTAAGACAATTTTTCGCCCTCCTCGGTTGATATAATCATTCTACCCCGCCACTCTAAGGACGCCTTCAGCACCTGACGCTTTCTGCACTGCCTCCAGGATCGGCCCACCTTTGACCAAGTGACAATGCGATGTGATAAAGTCATCAGGTCACGTCAGTAATGTGACGTCAGAGTGACGCCATAAATTTTGTCAAACTGTGACATAATGATGACGTCAACATGTTATGATTATTTTTACGTCACATGTGTTTAAGACACTGCCGACAGTCAATTTTCTTGTTTGATGAGGTATAGAAGAATTTAAAAGTATAAACATAGCTTTATGAGTTATGACGCATGTATTGGCACTGAATCTGGTCTTGACATGTACACCATGACATCATCCTGGTTTATCGTCATGATTAAGTCAATCATTTTGCGTACTTAGATTTAGGTGCACGATTAACAACATTATGTGATCGAAGCCCTTGACTTTGGCGTTCCGAATAATCCTATCGTTTCTTTGGGACGTAAAACCCCAACAATTGGTTCTACAGTCCCGCCCCCAATAATGCCTTTTTCTCGTGCGCCACACAAGAACCGCAGCTAATGCGCCGCAGGAAATCGGTGGAAGAGTGCCACGTCAGCGACTTTGTAAAGACAGAACGACATCCTGATAAACGACAGGCCAAAGCTGGAGTGCAGGTCGAGACACAGTGGTTCGCTTATTTGACTGCCAATATGCGAATGTAATTTTGTGGAAAGTACTTCTAAAGAATTTAAAACCTTGGTGCATAAAGAAAAAAAAAACAAATGATGAGTTACGTCATTTTTTCGTATATCAGAAGCTCTCGTTGAAGCTCGGAATAAAGTACCGCATATTGAAGATATTCTTATGAAAGAGTGAGATAGGGCTTTTCTGCACACACTCAAGTTTTTATTTAATGCCATCCCCAAAAGAGTACACTTGAAAGCTTACATAACTGATTTTGGTTTCAGAAACAAAGCACAGAAGTATTCCCATGGCCCAACAGCCTACGGAAAATATGGCGTCGGCAGGGGCGTCGGCAGAAAGTTTTTCGTGGGTAAGGGGCACCTACCTGATTTCGGGAGAGGGGGGCACCCCCTTGAAATGGTTATTTTTTCACTTCGCATGTCATGAAGAAAAAAAATTTAAGAGGGGGGAGGGGGAGGCACGGGCCCAGTATGCCACGCCCTATCTACGCCCCTGGGCGTTGGTGACATCACGACGTACGACATCTTGCATCAAATTTAACTCGGTTAAGATTTGTTATAGCTATCCAGATACTTGAGACCCACCGAGAGGTTTAACTGCGGGATGACATTCTCGGTCAGTTCTCACTTTTTGCTACTGCTGCGCATGTAAAGTATACAGCTGATGCATGGCAGGTTAAATCGCACCAAGCGCAACTCAGAGGCATTAGTTACATCATCCAGTCAACTATTTAATCCTGGGAATGCAACAGACTAGTAATTCTTATGTGCAGCCCCTAAGAAGAGGGCTGGGACTACGCGATCACTACGTCAATTGAGCCCCACCCAGTGTATTTCTCAGGGTTTATATGCATGTTCTCGGGAAAAATCACTTTTGGCCTAGTATATATGCTGTCTTAAATGTTGCTATAACGTCCGTTAAAAGTAAAAGGTGAATGCTTACGTAGTCGAAGTGGGGCCCAGCACAGGAGGAGACACAGGACAGCGTTCATCTTGCCGACTTGACGTGGAGCACACTGTTGCGCCGCAGCGAGCCGCTGACTGAGAAAGAAGCAGGCTTCCGGCCGTAGCTGAAGGAAGGCTCAGGTAGTCCCTGCGCATCCGGTGTCAACATGATGCGAGCCGTGAATCTACTCCGCGGGAGGAATTGTACGTGCGCGCCGCGCGGAACATTGTTTCGTTCGTTCAGAGCCTGTGGTTGGACTGAGGTTCTTCACAGGACACGGCACTTTTAGGCGCGAAGTGGGAAACCTGTAGTTATAGCTGATATTCTTGGTTTTCAGGCAGCCGAAAAACGCGAAGAAAGATAGAATTCTCACTGCATATCTCACATGAGGAATGAAGCCTTGAGGAGCAGCCAAGAAATGCTGCGCACCCCAAGAAGACAGACCGTGTATAGGCTGCAGTTAGTTGTGTAGCGAACTGGTGTCCTTACATTCTTATACACTCACTAATAAAGTCCACAAGCTTTTCGTCATATGACAATTAGTAGTCTTCCGCTAACGCGTCTGCTTAGTGGTTATGGTTCGCCTTGTCAAACAGAAGGTGGCGGATTCGAGTCCGTCTTCGTGGCTACACTTAAAGGAGGTCCCTGTAAGAACACCTCTCTACCTAGACTTTCGTCAAAGTAATCGAATAGTTCGAAGCACGGGATGTTAAGCGCGATAGAATTCCTAGCGCTGTTTGAATTCTTTCAGTAATAACCAACCCCCGCCCTCCAACTTAGCAAACAGCTTGGCTTAGCTAGAGCTTATAGTCAGTGCAAGCTAAAGAGCTCCAGCTGGCGTCTTTGACGGGGAGGAAAAGAAAGAATAAAGTCAGTATTTACTCTTTTTATCCTCACCCACTTCCGCTCCCTTCTTAACAAAGGTATTTTTGTTTTAAAATACTCATAAGTTATTTTGCCACATTTCGGGAGGGAGTATTCTGAAACTAGACTCATTTTGGAAAATATTTTCCAGTGGATATGCTTTTTGAACTTACTGGCGACACTTCGTAATTCATGATAGGCTTTGTGATGGAATATACTTATGGCTTATTGAAAATTGCTACAAAAAAAGCTCGTTAATCTGAACTAGATAGCAACAATAAAATTGCTTGAATCAAGCAGAGTTTGAATCTGCGGGTCGGCGCTAGAACAAATGGACATCGTGCCACACTACACAGAAAGAACTCAAAGACCCACTTATAGACTTGTTATGACGAACAAAGGGCTACTAAACGTTTGCGGTGGGTGATTTTTTTAAGGTCATGGAGCTCTAACAGTGAAAATAATTATCCGTCAGTCAGTGATATGCCAGAAAGCAGTGACGTAGCCAGCGGGTGGCACACCAAGCCCATTCCCCCTCCCCACGAATTTTTTCGGCCATAGCATACATAGCGCAAAATGACCGTTACCTGTCCGACCCCCCACACCCTTTCAAATTAAGGAGGTGCCCACCAACATGCAATAATGTGAGCAGTGATACTCGTGCAATATTTGACGCTTCTATGCTCCAAAACACGTTTATTTACATGGGGGAGTTAAAAAAGTCCCTGCAACACTTTTCGAGCATGGCCAGATAACGCGGCCGATCAGCAGTCAAAGCTCCTGAGAAAACGCGTGCAAAATAATATAGTGCAGCACGTGGCCTGGAATTTTCAGTAAATTTTCATAGTCAGTTAAAAATCGCGTCTTTTTCTCTCGACTTATGGCGCTACAGGTTCAAGATCACTACGTCATAGACCTAGTGTCTGCCATTAGCTGATTTGAGCATGCCGCGCTTTGTCGTTACTGGGGCCGCCGCGGTAGGCCGCGGCTTGTCTACGCAGGTGCGCACAATCACACTGAAAAGCCGCGCATTCGAAAAAAAAGGAAAAAGTGCTCAAGGTGACGAGGAGCGAATGACGTATTTTCTTCCTCCGTGCCATCCCTCCTTGATCGATGTATACTGCGCTGTAGAAAATATGAATAACCATCTGGCCCAACTGTCCGCTTTGATCGCTCCTTGACTATAGCTTTCATGGTGGACATCGGGACGACAGAAGAGAGAATGCGTAGTAACTCTGCTCGTACTAAGCAAAATCTGAAAGCTTTGAAAAAACAGCGCGTAACACAGGACACAGGACAGAGAAGAGACGGACGAGGCGCACAGCGCCTCGTCCGTCTCTTCTCTGTCCTGTGTCCTGTGTTACGCGCTGTTTTTTCACTTCGTTGACCATGTACCAACCGGCCCAAATAAGCACTTTAGTACTGAAAGCTTTCTGCATTAAATTTGTGAGGCAATAAGCGGTTTTAGTGAATCCATTCTATGGCTACCTAGAAAAGTGTTTCAGGTGCCCTCAATCAAAATTAAATATAATCAGTAATTAGCATTCGCTTGAGCTTCTTTTGTCATGAATCTATGAGTATCGTTTCCGGATTTCCTAATAGCTACATCGCAGCATCGGAAACATTATCTGCTTAGAAATACTGCTGTGTCGTTCTTTTTCGCTGTTTTGAATCTCTGGTAAATTTGGTTTGGTTTGGTTTTCGCAACACACTGTGGTCACTTTGGCATGACTTCCGCGAGGAGCAGTGAAAATCAGGGGCTCCCAGTTCGAATTAACCGTTGTGGATACCGACGCGTGTGAATAATCAGGTGTTTTCCCCCTTACAGTATATAGGTCTGATTATAAGTACACCAGGCTGGTTTCAGCATTTCACTAGGATCATTCACGTATGCATTGTCACTCAAGTGCCACTCGAAAAGAATCTGCCTATACTTCCGTAGTTTCCCCTGCGACTGTGCGACGATACAGTGGAATCCACTGTTATGAAATACACGACGTCTTATTAATACCCCTTTATTCAGGTGCATTCAATTCTGAGCACGATGATGAATTTACCTGTTCCATACTACCTGGAGAACGCTGCTGCTGCTGTGATAAATGAAGATTGGCTACTAAACTTGCCAACCTGTTTTGAGCGTTTAGTTTTGTTTGTCGCGTGAAGAGAATTGAGGAGAAAAGGAAAAGTATGAATTTCACCCAAACAAAAAAAAAAAGCAAAGAAAAAGGCAGCTCAGATACCTATTAAACATTCAATACCCTTCGCATTATCCTTAAACAAACAAACGAAAAAAAGACGAAATATGTATACGCCGTCTTGAGCGACACATTGTTCATAATAAGAAATTGAGCTTAAGACTGACGGAGTCCAGAAAAGACGAAGACAGGGGTTTTTACGTAATTAGCACAAGGAAAACAGCACAATGCACAAGAAATTAAGTTCAGCACAGATGATAATGGGGTGAGGTCCAAAGGCACTCGTGCCGTGTTCATCGTCTATTTTGCCCATTCTTACTAGTAGAAATTTTGAATATGTACAATTTGTCACACAACACGCGTCACTTATGTTTTAACAGTGCAGCTGCTCAAGGGCTGGGCCTCCTGACCGATAGTCCGTGCGAGGCTGCGTCAAGTGGCAGGTGTTCTCTAGCTGCGTCTCTAACGTTCCGGTTCTTACATACGCTCATAGAAGGCGTAACTGTCTTGCTCATGGACGAAGTGGTATTTCTTGGTAGCGTTGGCCCGAGAGGCACACCTGAGAAGCGGCAACAGTTGCCAGAGCATCTTGGGCACGGAGAGAAGGAGAGGTGCAAGGGAAACGACGTAACCGGCTATGGGTTTGAAAGAGGGGGTTAATGTGCCTTCTGAATAAAAGAAATCGTAGAACAAAACGGCATAATGACAGACAGGTACACAGGACTGTCTCCCTTGAGTCTTTTTTCGCCACAATTTTTTCTTGAAAATTATGAACCAACCAGTACAAAGAAACGTTTCTCTAAAGTCTACGTTCGCCACACCCTTTTGGAAGATGGGCAAGGCTTCTTGTACTTCCGACGAAGCGGCAACGCAAGTTGGCACGGGAGAATTTCGCTGCTGCGACGGCTTTCTACAAAATCAATCCAAATCGCTATATTTCGACAGCTTTCACTGAGTGGAACCAGTTTTCTTTTTTCCTACGGGAGAGGGACGGGGTAATTCAGGGTAATTCCGCTACTTGTCCAGGTGTGCGCAAGCGATCACATGGAAATAGCCGCGCATTCAAAGAAAAAAAGTGCTCAAGGTCACAAGGCGTGGTGGTTTGTCTTGCCACCCCTCCCTGCTAAGCTTCCAGTGCTTTCATCGGGATGAGAGAAGAGATAATGCAATTGCAGCATGTGATAAACCTTTGTAACTCCACTCGCACTGGACGGATACTGACACTTTTTGCAGCGTTGAATTCGCGAAGCAATAAGCTCTTCTAGTGGATTCATTCTATGGTTACTTGAAAAAGTGTTTCAGGGTTTCTTTAACGCATTTTGTTCGACAGGTGTCACGACGAAAACGAGCCCATTCGGTGATAATAGCGCGCGCTGGTCCAATCTCCTGTGTGCGTGTGTGTGTGCGTGTGTATGTAACAAAACATAATAATGACTATGCACTTGGCGGTTGAAGGGTGCACTGAGGGCCGGATTTCACTATCGCGTTCAACTCTTAAAGGCGAAGCGTAATGTTCCCCCAATTCCCCCCCCCCCCAAAAGTATTATATTTCTTTAGTATAAATTCCTTTTTTTATCGTATACCTAAATTATACTGTCATTTCGCTTGAGACACTACAACACTTACTAACATCAATTTCCTCCATTGAACGTAGAAAAAAAATGTACGTCGTGTTCTAAATTACTTAAGGCCAACGAGTCCCCTTTTCTAAAAACTAAATTTGCTAGAAATGCCCAACATTTACGAAAATATATTGATCAGTTATAAGGAGAGTATTCAAAAAAACAGCCACGCCCCAAAATGTATTCACAGGTTAATGCGAAAACATAAAACCAAAACGTGAAGCTCCAAAATGCGGGAACTACCAAAGTCCAGAACAAGTTATACCTATCAGATGCTATGTTAATAATTTATGTATCACTTAAACACCAAAAACATCATATAACAATTCCTGATACATTATAATAATAAATGAACATGTATGTCACCGCAAACACCGATGTAGTAGTGTGGTGTATT